CACTAGTAACTGTCCTGGTAACACCAGCAGACATGGTAACACTGTAACACTCCACACTAGTAACTGCCCTGGTAACACCAGCAGGCATGGTAACACTAACACTCCACACTAGTAACTGCCCTGGTAACTCCAGCAGGCATGGTAACACTGTAACACTCCACACTAGTAACTGCCCTGGTAACTCCAGCAGACATGGTAACACTGTAACACTCCACACTAGTAACTGCCCTGTTAACTCCAGCAGACATGGTAACACTGTAACACTCCACACTAGTAACTGCGCTGGTAACACCAGCAGACATGGTAACACTGTAACACTCCACACTAGTAACTGCCCTGGTAACACCAGCAGACATGGAAACACTGTAACACTCACACTAGTAACTGTCCTGGTAAACACCAGCAGACATGGTAACACTGTAACACTCCACACTAGTAACTGCCCTGGTAACACCAGCAGACATGGTAACACTGTAACACTCCACACTAGTAACTGTCCTGGTAACACCAGCAGACATGGTAACACTGTAACACTCCACACTAGTAACTGTCCTGGTAACACCAGCAGACATGGTAACACTGTAACACTCACACTTAGTAACTGCCCTGGAAACACCAGCAGACATGGTAACACTGTAACACTCCACACTAGTAACTGCCCTGGTAACTCCAGCAGACATGGTTTAACACTGTAACACTCCACACTAGTAACTGCCCTGGTAACTCCAGCAGACATGGTAACACTGTAACACTCCACACTAGTAACTGCCCTGGTAACTCCAGCAGACATGGTAACACTGTAACACTCCACACTAGTAACTGCCCTGGTAACACAGCAGACATGGTAAACACTGTAACACTCCACACTAGTAACTGCCCTGGTAACTCCAGCAGACATGGTAACACTGTAACACTCCACACTAGTAACTGCCCTGGTAACTCCAGCAGACATGGTAACACTGTAACACTCCACACTAGTAACTGCCCTGGTAAACTCCAGCAGACATGGTAACACTGTAACACTCCACACTAGTAACTGCCCTGGTAACACCAGCAGACATGGTAACACTGTAACACTCCACACTAGTAACTGCCCTGGTAACACCAGCAGACATGGTAACACTGTAACACTCCACACTAGTAACTGTCCTGGTAACACCAGCAGACATGGTAACACTGTAACACTCCACACTAGTAACTGCCCGGGTAACACCAGCAGACATGGTAACACTGTAACACTCCACACTAGTAACTGCCCTGGTAACACCAGCAGACATGGTAACACTGTAACACTCCACACTAGTAACTGCCCTGTAACACCGGCAGACATGGTAACACTGTAACACTCCACACTAGTAACTGCCCTGGTAACACCAGCAGACATGGTAACACTGTAACACTCCACACTAGTAACTGCCCTGGTAACACCAGCAGACATGGTAACACTGTAACACTCCACACTAGTAACTGTCCTGGTAACACCAGCAGACATGGTAACACTGTAACACTCCACACTATTTAACTGCCCTGGTAACTCCAGCAGGACATGGTAACACTGTAACACTCCACACTAGTAACTGCCCTGGTAACTCCAGCAGACATGGTAACACTGTAACACTCCACACTAGTAACTGCCCTGGTAACTCCAGCAGACATGGTAACACTGTAACACTCCACACTAGTAACTGCCCTGGTAACTCCAGCAGACATGGTAACACTGTAACACTCCACACTAGTAAACTGCCCTGGTAACACCAGCAGACATGGTAACATTGTAACACTCCACACTAGTAACTGCCCTGGTAACACCAGCAGACATGGTAACACTCCACACTAGTAACTGCCCTGGTAACACCAGCAGACATGGTAACACTGTAACACTCCACACTAGTAACTGCCCTGGTAACACCAGCAGAACTGGTAACACTGTAACACTCCACACTAGTAACTGCCCTGGTAACACCAGCAGACATGGTAACACTGTAACACTCCACACTAGTAACTGCCCTGGTAACACCAGCAGGCATGGTAACACTGTAACACTCCACACTAGTAACTGCCCTGGTAACACCAGCAGACATGGTAACACTGTAACACTCCACACTAGTAACTGCCCTGGTAACACCAGCAGACATGGTAACACTGTAACACTCCACACTAGTAACTGCCCTGGTAACTCCAGCAGACATGGTAACACTGTAACACTCCACACTAGTAACTGTCCTGGTAACACCAGCAGACATGGTAACACTGTAACACTCCACACTAGTAACTGCCCTGGTAACACCAGCAGACATGGTAACACTGTAACACTCCACTAGTAACTGCCCTGGTAACACCAGCAGGCATGGTAACACTGTAACACTCCACACTAGTAACTGCCCTGGTAACACCAGCAGACATGGTAACATTGTAACACTCCACACTAGTAACTGCCCTGGTAACACCAGCAGACATGGTAACACTGTAACACTCCACACTAGTAACTGCCCTGCTAACACCAGCAGACATGGTAACACTGTAACACTCCACACTAGTAACTGCCCTGGTAACACCAGCAGACATGGTAACACTGTAACACTCCACACTGGTCACTAGCTTGTAACACCAGCAGACATGGTAACACTGTAACACTCCACACTAGTAACTGCCCTGGTAACACCAGCAGACATGGTAACACTGTAACACTCCACACTAGTAACTGCCCTGGTAACACCAACAGGCATGGTAACACTGTAACACTCCACACTAGTAACTGCCCTGGTAACACCAGCAGACATGGTAACATTGTAACACTCCACACTAGTAACTGCCCTGGTAACACCAGCAGACATGGTAACACTCCACACTAGTAACTGCCCTGGTAACACCAGCATACATGGTAACACTGTAACACTCCACACTAGTAACTGCCCTGGTAACACCAGCAGACATGGTAACACTGTAAACACTCCACACTAGTAACTGCCCTGGTAACACCAGCAGACATGGTAACACTGTAACACTCCACACTAGTAACTGCCCTGGTAACACCAGCAGGCATGGTAACACTGTAACACTCCACACTAGTAACTGCCCTGGTAACACCAGCAGACATGGTAACACTGTAACACTCCACACTAGTAACTGCCCTGGTAACACCAGCAGACCATGGAAAACACTGTAACACTCACACTAGTAACTGCCCTGGTAACTCCAGCAGACTTGGTAACACTGTAAACACTCCACACTAGTAACTGCCCTGGTAACACCAGCAGACATGGTAACAC